TGCCTTTAAAGATATGTGCTTTCTTGAAAAGGCTAACAGTAACTATTGTACAGGTCACATTTTCCACTTCAAAATTTGAGCAAAAATGTAGTCACAACCTTACTTATCTGCTGCACCTTCACGAATACAGATGGGGGATTGATCGCATGTCGAGATAATACAAAGACAATTTTTAGCAAGCCGCGGTTGGCATTTTATGCAGCATGATACACTTTGAATGTAAAACAAGAAAAAAAAAACTTTTTTCGACAGTGGCGAGGAAAGACAATTTAAATTTTAACTTTCAAGCTTCTTCATGCCTTCTTTAACGATATCCCAATTTATAGCCGACTTTTCTTGATTTTCGCAGCGGCACCCCTGGCATACGCACCCAGTTTTAGAACCTCTGCTGTAATGCCTCGGTCGAGTCAGCAGGCAAAGACCTTGCCACCTGCTGTTACCACGCAACCGGGTGGCAGTTTTCCCCGCTACGACAGATTTAGGCAACGCTTCTATTGTGTTAATGAGAGAGTTATTTCAGTCCATCGCAGTGTATGCAGAAATCACTATTCGTATTCGGCCCGACCGCCACTATTCGGCCGAATACCGAATGGCTATTAGGTCCACCAATCGGCCCCGAAGCCAATACGAAGCGAATATTCGGTACAGTCCTAGTTGTAAGTATTGCAAGTGTAAAATTATTGCGAAAATACAAGACTTACAAAATCATGCAGAGGCTAAAAAGCATAAAACTGCAGTTTCATTCAAAGATATTACACCGCCGACATCTGTTTTCAGAACTACACTGATAAATGAATCATCAAAAGTTGAAGGATCGGTCGCAATGTTTTTAAGTTGTCACTGTGTAAGTTCAAACTGTGACCATTTGATTGATTTGTTTAAAAACACTATTTCTGACAGTAAAGTTTTGAAATGCATCGCAGCAAGTGTACACATATTATAAGAAATACTTTATTTTCTCACTTCGAAAAAAAGATTTGATCAGTTATATATCTACAAATAAATATAGTTTATTATTAGACGAATCAAATTATATTTCGGTACTGAAATGCTTTGTGTGTGTATTATATATTAACAGCAACAATACAGATAAAGTATTGATAATCTAGATCTATGAAAAAATATTTCACTCTTTTCTGTGAGCAACATACCTCAGCCTGTAAAGGACATTCCTAAATATTGTAAAGTTATGAAATTTTTAGCGGCTACTGATAATAGTGTCGCGGCAGCAGAATATCAGTTAACCAAAATAAACTTAGTTGAATTGACAAACAAAACAAAAACAAGCGTTTTGGAGAAGTGAGACAATTTAAAGATGCCACATCAGACAATCCATTCTGTAAGCTCTTTGAATGTGCCATGTCTGTCACGATACTACCCCACTCAAATGATGACGTAGAATGACTTTTCAGTGCTATGAATTACATCAAATCTAACCTAAGAAACAGGATGAAATTTGACCTCTTACATACTATCTTGACAATAAAATTTGCCTGCTGAGAATTGGAAGCTGTTCCACTTATCAGCTCCCTGATTGTGTATTGAAAGAAATTGGAACAGATAAAGCATACCAAAGTCATTTTGGATCTGAAGCTTCACTTCATCATGAAAGCTTAGTTTATCCTGTAGATCTTGTGAGGCAGACACCGGTCTTCTTCTTTCGCTCGCCTGAAATAAGTTGTCTATATCCGCAATTTTGTCTCTTGTTGTTAATTCATTCAGTGGTCCATAGAGTTTACGTTCCACTGTTGTACTTTCTGGCCAAAAGGTTTGCCTTAATGTGTCAAATTCTGTGCAGTCCTGGAGTACATGCTCTGCTGTCTGGGGCACCTTTCCACATGGTTGATACGCCTATCTTGAATTTTGTGTACATGTGGTTACGTAATTGGTTGTGCCCTGTTCTGGGGCGGAGGGTAATGACTTATTCTGATCTGTCCATAATAAAATAGTCGTCTTGTGCTGGGGCTGGTGGTTTCCTGATTGATTTAATGATTCTTTTCTTTTGGTGGTATGTAACTGGTACATCCGGCTGCACTTTTGTCGCACCTTCTCCTGCCAGTTGATCAGCTTTCTCATTTTAAGGCACTCCGCAATGTGATGGTATCCACTGCATTACAACTCTTCGCTGAAGGCTGAGTTGTGTCAGCAGTGTTTGCAATTTTGGTAGTTTCCTAAACTGGAGTGCTTCAAGTACTGATTTTGCCTCTGTCATCATTACCACATACTGTGAGCCAAGACATCAGTGAAGATGATGACATGATTCTATAGGGTAAGTCATATCATTAGCTATATAATTTGTGACTCTTTCCATTTGGATGTTGTTTTTTTTTGGTAGATGTTTTCCACGCAAATTTAGATGTTTTTAGATATTGTTCTACTCTGGTCTGGATGTTTTTTGTCAAAGAAAAGTGGCAACACTGCCCAAGTCCGTTCTACTTCCGTTGTCAGTTCTGAAATTTCTGTATTTTCTACTTTTATGTGTGGGAACCGGTAAATATTTCGCTTAATTGAGCGACTTTTCCCCTAAAGTTACGGCGAATTCACTGACGTTTATTTATATTAAAATATTTGTAACTATTTAAGAAACTTCTGCACTTTGCAGTCACTGTCACATTCTTGTATTGAAACTTGCAGACTGCACTTCAGAAGTCTTAAGCAAATGTAACAAACACAACAAAACAAAGAAGAGTAAGTTTTATTGTTATTGTCTTATATGACTTTTATGACTTATATGTGATGTGACTTTTTTTAAATTTTTATGTTAACATAAAATGTATAATAATGTCGTGTAACCATACTTTAAAAATGCTGCAGTTTAACTACCTTAGTAGTGATTGGTGGTGGAGGGGATTAAGGAAAAATTAGGTTCTCCTTGCAATAACGGTCGCTACTTGGACGGCGACGGCCGCTTAGTCGGAGTTCAGTCCCCTGGCTGCAGTGCAATTCGGAGTGCACAAGGCACGAATCACAAAACACAGTGAGTTCAACTTGGCCTCTAAACCACGCGCTGCAACTCACATTACCCTAACCCCAACCCTAACCCTACCCCTAGCCCTAATTATATCATTTGTGTCGTTCCCTCTTTTCCACTCCGTAATTGCACTGCAGCCAGGGGACTGAACTCCGACTAAGCGGCCGCCGCCGTCCAAGTAGCGACCGTTATTGCAAGGAGAACCCAATAATTTCTTAATCCCCTCCACCCCCAATCACTACTCAGGTAGTTAAACTACAAGGAGAGCCGAATTATTGTAATTGTTAAAAAAAAATGTAATTAAGGAATCACAGACGTGTAGTGACGTTAAGACAAGATATAATGGGTATTCCTCAGAATGGACTCAAAAAAAACATCCTGAAGGTTGCCACAAACAATTTTCATGTCATCCCCGCCGTATAGAGGATATAGTAATCATTCACCATGTTTGGAGGAACCAATGAAGATCCATATACTTATCTGTGGTGGAGATGATTCTCCCACAGGGTCTTCATGTCCTTGACCAGATTACGGAGGCAGAGTCGTTGTATCCCTTTGGGAGAGGCAGCGAGGTAATTCTGTGTCCCTGAGTGTGTCGATATGCGGATGACCATGTTTTTATTTCCTTGAATCTCTGAGTGATGTGGATATATACGTAGCCCAACTTCGAAGATCTCTGGAGGATATGTCGAGAAGTACGATACTTCAGGCAAAGCAAACCTATTCAACTAGATGTCTCACGTGACTTGAGTAATAGACACAATATAGTTTACTCCAGTGTGATAATGGACAGAATTAGACAAACAGGACGACTTGGATAGGCTTGTAGGAAATGGATATACGGGATATGCTAGTGGATGCACTGCATTCACTGGACGTACTGTTGGGTATATGGATATATACCCCAGCAGACGGTTAACTAGATACGCCCCTGGAATTTCCTCCACATGCAGATTGAATGACAAACTGGATCCTTCAGTCTCCCATGATGCCAAATAAGATCATGAACCAGAATAGATCTTATATTTCAATAACAAGGAACGCTTACACAAAGAACGTTGTGGCTCTCCTAAAGTCTAGAAGAGAGAGTGATGTCACTGTATTTTGTGCTAGCAACGATGGCTTTGTGTCATAGGTTGTCCAAGATGTGGAAATCCTCATTGAAGTCGGGATGCTGAGGTTATCACGCGATAATATGTATGTTTCAAATTCAGGAGATACATATTTCTCCATTTACATGCATATCTTCCATCACTATAGGACTGACACTATATTTTCACGTCTGTCTGTCTAATTTCTACTTCTCCAGCTTTGCTGCATATAACCGTTTCCTCGCTATTAAGAAAAACAGATTGTGTCCCCTAAGGTCTTCCTTGCAAGGATTGCTGAAATGTAACAATAACACAATCTACTTCTTCTTTCCTCTATGCCTGGAATGCCTAGCGGCCTCAGGTCACACAATAATAACAATAATTATTATTATAGCCGGAAATTTTACTTAATCAGCTGATGTTTAATTACTGTTTTATTTCTTAGTGTACAGATCATCATCATCCTCAAAACTGTTCAGTCTATAAATGCTTGGATATCTGCTGGCATACATACCTCATAGTCTTAGCATGTTCTGCAGAAAAAAAAAATTACTTTTATGTTTTGTTTTTGTTAGTTGTGTATCCTTTACAGGACGTTGCAGAACCAACCTCAGCATTTTTTTTTAGCTGTTTTGGTTTTTCTTGGCAAATTTACATCCATTAGTTTGCCATTGCTTTCTGGACGGTCGGCTTCTCGAAACCAGCCCAAGGCCCGCAGCTGAGATCGACCCCGGCATTACGAAGCTTGTTCGCAACACCTAAGCCACAGATGCCAACTTTACTTTTATTACCTGAAAAATAACAATCATGTTCTTGTCACTTGTTAGGCAGTTTGTGTGTGTGTTCATTATTTAAAAAACAATATGAGTGTATGTATTGAAATGTTGTTTTTTTTTCTTTCTTATGTAGATTTATATGTGAAGTTTGTTCCAGCTAAAATGAACGTTGGTGTTGCTCATAGTGACAGCAATCCCACACATTCCTACTTCAGCAGCAAAGGAATATGGCTGACCTATGTGCTGCTGGTGTTTGGGGTGCATTTGTTACTGCTGTCCCTTCCGTTTTTCTCTGTAGCTGTAGCATGGACTCTGACTAATATACTACATGATTTAGTAAGTATAGTGAATTTTCAGTGGTTTTACTCTTACTGATATGCTACGTGATTTGGTTAAGTATAGTGATTTGTCTGTGGTTTTACTCTGACTGATGTGCTACATGATTTGTTAAGTATGGTGATTTGTCTGTGGTTTTACTCTGATTGATGTACTACATGATTTAGTAAGTATAGTGAATTTTCAGTGGTTTTACTCTTACTGATATGCTACATGATTTGGTTAAGTATAGTGATTTGTCTGTGGTTTTACTCTGACTGATATGCTACATGATTTGGTTAAGTATAGTGATTTGTCTGTGGTTTTACTCTGACTGATGTACTACATGATTTAGTAAGTATGGTGATTTGTCTGTGGTTTTACTCTGACTGTTGTACTACATGATTTGGTAAGTATAGTGAGTTTGTCTGTGGTTTTACTCTGATTGATGTACTACATGATTTGGTAAGTATAGTGAGTTTGTCTGTGGTTTTACTCTGACTGTTGTACTACATGATTTGGTAAGTATAGTGAGTTTGTCTGTGGTTTTACTCTGACTGATGTACTACATGATTTGGTAAGTATAGTGAGTTTGTCTGGGGTTTTACTCTGACTGTTGTACTACATGATTTGGTAAGTATAGTAAGTTTGTCTGGGGTTTTACTCTTACTAATGTACTACATGATTTGGTTAAGTATAGTGAATTTGTGGTTTTACTCTGACTGATGTACTACATTATCTGATGAATACAGTATGTATTATAACTGGTTGATATCATTGGTTATCCTGGATTTTCCCTTATTTCTTTTACTTTTCTTGAATCTGCCATTTAATATTCAAAATTTTTCATCGGGCATTTTTTTTTTTTTTTTCAAATACATGTAACTTTACTTTCATGCCATTGATAATTTTCTTATAATGATTCAACGTTTCTTGTCTAGTAGCAGTCAATTACACCACTGCCAGCTTGCTAGGCCTATCACCTGACAGGTGGAAACAAACCTTACCTGGTTGATGCTCGTCCCCCTCCCTGGCGAGCCATTGCTGCATGGCTCTTCTGAAACCTTGCGGCAAGTTTTCTGCCATGTACCACGAGGAGGTGGGATTGGCCTAGGTTCTCTATGGGTCATTGGCAGGCTACTTAAATTTCACTTTTCACCTCTGAAGAGAATCTAATCAACCTTAACACTGCTTAAAACAAAGTATGACATGAGAATAAACATCGTGAAAACTGGGGTAATGAGAATACAGAGGAAAAATAATGACATGAACGTTCTTGTTAACAGTACTACAATCAAACAAGCAGGAGAAATCAAATATCTTGAAAGCATATTTGTAGAGGACGGCAGACTCAATAGAGAGGTAAAAGCCAGAGCACAGAAGAAAAATGCTTTAAACTACCACTTAGACCCCAAATGTCTCCCTTCAAGTGAAGCAGCAAAAGATTAATATCATCTTCATCCCTGCTTTATGCTATTAGTGCCAGACATGGACATTGAATAGGGCACTAGAACAGAAAAAAACTACCTGTGAAATGTGCTGTCTCGGCAAGGTCACTAACAACACAAGAAGAGACAGGGTTACAAATACCAGCATTAGAGAGAAAGTTGGAATAAGACCATGTCTAGATTTTATATTAACAGACAAAGAATGAAATGGTTCAGCCATCTAGTGAAAATGCAGCCAGACCAAACTGCATATGAGACTTTTTACAGCAGCACATCTGGGAGGAAGACGAGAGGAAGACCAAGAAAGAGGTGGATATATGGGGTAGCTGAAACCTGCAAAACGTTGAACAAATCCATCACTCAAGCCGTCCAAGAAGCACAAGACAAATACAGAAAACCACAGAACTGGGCTAAACCTGGTATCAGTGAGACACACAAATAAGAAGAAGAAGATTGTTTTCTTGAATCTTAATCTTGCTTAAGTTGCATGTTATATTTTAATGAGTAACCTGAGACGATACTTTCCAGTGCATGTTTGTGATGCTCCACGTGACCAAAGGCACACCATGGGAGGCTGCAGATCAAGGCGTGTCCCGCTTGGAAACTCAGTGGGAGCAGATTGACTATGGAAAACACTTTACAGCCACCAAGAAATTCTTGACCACAGTTCCAGTGGCATTGTGAGTACATTGTCTTCTTCTCTGTTCCCCTTTAGCCTTATCGCCCTGCGAAAGCCATTTTTCTTGCCATTTATGGGTTTTTGATGACTTGAAAATCCTTGGGCAGTGGCCGCTTTATCTGTATGTAACAAAGTTAGTGCTGGTTGCAGTTACAGTGTATAGACGAGATGAGTATGATAATATTTACCCCAAAAATTCAGTAAGATGTTATTTTTTTTTTTAAACCAAATTATTTTCTGATTGTGAAGTCATTTTTACATCATAATAATCTCAATATGACATCACTTTACATGGCCAAGTCACAAAAATTACATTTATCGTGGTCAAAGGGCAAAGAAACCAATTGACTCCTTGCTCCATTTATATTTATTGTGGATTAATTCCGTTTATAAAAAAAAAAATCATTACACCCATAAAAATTATTTTAAAAATTGGTGTAAATTATTTTTAGTGATTTGACAGCTGTTGTGTCACGGTGGCCATTACACTTGCCAGTTTGCTCTGTGGTCATGGTTTCAACCTCCTAGACTTTTTTAAACCTGAATACTCACAATTTCTTCCTCTCCCCCTTCTTTTTCTCTAATTTTTTTAGGACAGGGTTTCAGACAATTTTAAGAATGTGTTTCTGTTTAACCAAATTGTGAAAAAAGAAATGTTTTTAAGAGTCTTTTGGGGCCAAAGGGTTAAAAATGTGGTTGACACATTATGTTGCGGTTTATAGCTAGGCTGAAATATTTAAGGCTTTTGGCCCAGCATATCTGGTTTCAGCAAAAAACTTAGTCATCTTTTATATCTTGTTGAGGGGGGAAGTATGTCTGTTCCGTGTGAAACAGTAACCTGTCAGTAGAATAACACAGCCACTTAAAAATCTGTCTGCTGATTGTTAAAACGTAGTGACCAACAGTGGAGACTGCTCGAAAGAATTCAGAAGAAGGCTTGCTTTAGCAATGCAGAGATTAAGCAGCATGAAGAACCTATGGCAAAGCACACAAAAAAGTACAAATCTTGAGATCATGCTTTTTTTCTGTGGCAGCTTATTGTTGTGAGTCCTGGACTCTCACTCAGTCACTGAGGAAAAAGATTGGAGCTTTTGAATTAAAATGTTACAGAAAAATTCTCAGAATACCATAAAGAAGAGGAAAAATAGTGACATTCTACACGAGTTAAACATCCAGGAGAACTGACTCATAAACAGCATCCTGTCACGAAAGTTGGAAGTATTTTGGCCACATCAGTCGTTATGGTGTCTTGGAAAAAATGGTGTTGGAGGGTGCAGTCTGTAGAAGGTGAGGTAGGGGTTAACCTCCGCGAATATGGATATAGGACATTAAAGATGGAAACGAAAGCACATGGGGCTGGAGAGCTGGCTAGGTTTTGTAAAGAACTTGCTGATTGATGGTGAGGATTATTTTAGGCAGATAATGATTCAGAATTGGGGCTTTTGAACTTTAATGTTATCGGACAATTCTTAGAATATCATGGACTGAAAGGAGGTAAAATACTAACAGTCTTCAGTATCTGAGAGAGGGGGACATGCACATAGACAGTATCATTTCTTTGAAAGTGAAATACTTGAGCCATCTTAAACACCTTAATGGTTTGGAGTAAATAGTAATGGTGGGTATGGTTCTTAAAAGAAGAGGCACGGGTCTACCAGCACAACACTAGACACATGATATTAGGCACAGTCTGGGCAGGAAATTTTGCAAGGGACAGGTGGCTTTCCAGTATCCAGTGATATGTTGTTCTGCAAATAACCTGTTACATCAGCAGTTTTCAACCAAGGCACACAAGGAAGTTTCAAGGGGGTTTTAAAGCAGTTTTGAAATTGATTGCATGTGTACTTGTAAGTAAAGTAAATATCCCTTATTACACCGTTAGGCGCATCGGGCATTCAGGAAGAGCACCCATATTTTTTCAGACCAATCAGCACTAGATGGGTAATGTGGTCAGCATTACCCTGGCCGTCTACTTTCTCTGGACATACATCCTGCTACCCATTTTAGGCTGTGTCGACCTGCGACGCCCCCTTACAATGATAAATATTTAGGCAGCCAGCAGTGGGTTTCAGTCATTTGTACTTGTAGTAATCTGTTATACTACAATTTCTTTTCCACTGTATAAATAAAAGAGTTTTTAAAACTGTTTATAAAACCAAAAAACTCAAAGACATTTCTGTTTTCATGAGCAGTTTATTATAGTTGGGCAAAACAGTGTCAACCATCACACTGATATTTGGACACTAAATTACTAGTTGTATGGTCATTTTTTCTTTTATGTCATTTAACACTTTGATTTATGTAGTTGTTTTTTCTAAGTTCTTGTGAATAGTGCTTGGTATTGTTATTTTTGTCCTCCTCTTTTTAATCACATTTTTAAATATATTTTTTCTTTTAATTGTGGGGGGGGGGGAGGGCCTACAATATGTTTGCGGTGGGGAACATCACCTTAAAAATCGAGTAACCAGTATTTATTTGAAACAAAACAAACAATTATGTTCCATCTTCACAATGAAGGTTGTGCACGCACTGCTTTTTTCTGGGAATATTACGTGGTGAAGGCCTGAATTATTTGGAAGCAGCAGAGATGTGGTTTTGTAGATGAATGATGAGAACACCCTGGACAGAAGATTAATGAAGACGTCTTGAAAGAAACTGACTCACAGAGATAAATTACTGTCCACATCAGAAGGAGAATTTAATTCTGAGCGAGAATTTATTGAAAGTCCACAAGACAGAGGGTTGTGGATAGACATGGCTACCAACACCACATGGTATGTACTATAAGAAGATGCCTTTATCACTTCCACAGTGCAACTCTCATACTACTGTCTGAACATCACAAGAATAGTTTTTTTAATAAACCATCCACGGCAAAAATCAAACCAACCCTGGTACTTGAGGCTCGTGAAATTGTTAACCACATTCACTAACCTGTGAGTTACAGAGCCGCAGTCATCCAAAACATATGAAGTGTTTAGTTAGTTGTCATTGTTCAACATATAATTTACTCAGCTTGTGTTAAACTTCTGTTTGGATTACTTCGTAGTGCCGGGTCCGATCCAAGCTGCAGTTTGAAAGTAGACCGCCCGCCTTGCATTGCTTTCAACAGTGTCACATATCACTCCTGTCGCGTGCCTAATGTAAGGATTTCTCCTTCCGAACCAACAGCACTCAGAGATAATTATGTTGAGTCGTTTGGCTCGTATTGGTCTAAGGGATTCCCCGTGGCCAATATACGCTCAACTTATCTCTGGAGTAGGGCAACTCAAGTATTGGCACTACAAAATATGTCAGTATATGAATACAATATTTCTAGGCACACTTGGCTGGACACCCCCACTACTTACTAAAGAAAGCCCCCAAGTTATGATAATTCATTATCATAACCATGTTAACACATATAATGAAGATACATAAACACACAACTGCTAAACACTTAAAAAGGTGACGTAGAGAAACCTAAGTCAGCCATGAAAATGAATGCATGTAATCAGTGTAATGTACATATAATAATGAAGTGAATTCCAGCTGTCAGTGGAAGAATCTCAGAATATAATGTCTAGATACCAAAGATACTATACAGACAGTAAGTCCTGGAGATGGCTATATGTCATCATAGGGAAACATAGGAGCTGTGAGGTATATGGCAAATTAGGCATCAAACTTAGCTTCTCCTCTTCCTGTCTATGATGCCTCCCTCAGCTCCGGATGATTCGACTGTCTTTGACTCTGGGAATTCTGCTCCACTGGATCAAGTAGTACAAGAGTACCTCATCATAGAGGACACAGCACTGTACTGGTACTTAGCAAGTCTCTATCACCATTTAGGACACACAATGTTTTTGAGCTACACTAAGCTCTGGCACTGGTAGGCTGTTTGAGTTATGAGCTCCCACATATTGATGATGTCAGGAACCTTCACAGGTGTCAGCTGGTGGGTGGTTGGTTTATGGTTAGTTTATGGTTGGTTTATGGTTAGTTTATGGTTGGTGGGTGTTGGTTGGACTGTGAAACTTCTGCCAGCTCCTCACAAAGGATACATCCTGTCAAGAAAATATCTCAGAATTAGTCATCACCAAGAGGGTAACATCTTGACAGGAAAGACAGAACAAGCATCAGTCATCAACCCCCATCTGCTTACTCCACCCTGCTCTCCTGTTTCATTCCTCAGAATGCCTCTCCAGACCAAGAGACATAAGTCTCCTATATTCATCTGTCTGTTTAGTGCAAGAGAAGGCACGTCAGATATACAGTGGAGATAGATAGAGTGTTCTAACACATATATCACTCTCTCTCTCTCCCCTCCCCTCTACACACAGACACCAATATTTACTGTCAGTACCTTCATTCCTTACACTCCCCAAAAGCCCGTCTTACCATCCATTGATCTGGGTCAACCATACTCATACACTGGCCGACACAGTCCTGACCTAATTCTGTCCCCATTTTGTATGCACAAACTTCTGTGGCCAGTTTAAATAGTACACACTTGTAAGGTTTTAAGTTTACCAGTATGAGTGGGTTATTTAAGGCATAGGCTATTTAGTCTGTACAGGGGAGGGTCTACATTCGAATCCGCTTCTCTAGCGATCAAGACCGGTCGAACTATGTGTGATCCCACAGCCGATACTGATCTCTCTACAGCAGTGACTACTTTACAGACATCATTTTAGGTACTCGTAAACTATAATTAACTTACCCAAGCATATGCAAAAACTGAGACATTCCAGATCGCCTTGAAAAGTGAAATTATACAGGCATAGATTGACACGTCTGGACGCTTGGAGCCGACAAGAGAGAATAGCGTCACTTAGACACTTCAGGCGTTGGTAAAAAAAAGAAGTCCCTAGTATACATGGGCAAGGAGTGCATCGGTTTCTAAGAACCCTCAAATAACTCCTCTAATATATATCAAAGATATATACATTTAAAAGTGGAGTTTAGTTAAAGCAACCAGAAAAGGTAGACATAATAATGTTGTCCAGTAAAGACCTATATATATAGATATAAGGGACTATATCTTTCCGGACGAGTCCAAGTTTGAATTTTGTGAAGATTTACAGGTAAGTTAGGTTACCAGTCTTACAGACTGATGCGTAATGGCTTATCATTCCACGACAAACAATGGTATCAAGAGCCGACCATTGAGGCAGCACTGGCAAACTACTGAACATAAAAATTCATAGAAAAACCACAACAGCCAAAAAATGCTGAGGTTGGTTCTTCAGCGTCCTGTAAAGGACATGCAGCTAACTTTGTTTTTTAACATGTGTATGAAATATCTTGAGGTCTTATTCTCAACTTAATAAACGCGTTTTCTTGTTCTTTTACAGATTCTTTTTGGCAAGCTTCTACTCACGCTACGACCCGTACCACTTTGTTATTAATGCCAGCGCGCTGATACTGAGTCTAATACCAAAACTGCCGCAGCTGCATAAAGTGAGGCTTTTCGGCATCAATAAATACTAGCAATCATGCATATCTTTTATTCATTAGACTGAGCACCTGAAGGGATTTTCTGAGTGCTATGACGTCATTTATAAGAATGAATTGAAATAATTGTTCTGTAGTGTTTTGACCATAATTCTGTATATCAGTGGGTTTTAGTTTTCTGAATGATTCTGGGCGCCAGCCAGCCTCATAATAGAAGTTTAATGTTGAATAAAGAGTCAGCATCACAGTATTCTGGACATTCCAATAAGCACTCCGTCCCCATCTTCAGCAGCAGGCACAGAGTTCTAATTCCGCTGATTACCAGTCTGATTGTATATCCATCTAGCTTTTTCCTGAGTGTTTAGCACCAGCCAGATCCCTAGGTCGTTGCTCACAGCAAAAATTCTCCTTAGACCTGATGATCCATCTGTGTCCGCAGCGGTTACCACCCCTGAAGAGCCCTTACAACATCTAGCTTGTTATGCATCAGGTCGTCACCGAATTGTGCAGAGCCGGCCAGCCTGTCTGCCTGTTTACTTCCCATCACCAGCATAACCCAGAGAAAATATCCAAAGGAGACTGACTACTGGGACCTCTGAAGCGATCAGTGTGTTCTGTGAGTCAGTTAGAATTAAAGAGATTTGAATATAGAAAGTACGATGGCTGATGTGAATTGCTCTTCACCTTTTAAGATTTGTTTAATAACACAGCTGGTGTCTGGCTTGTGGGTAATGCATGCAGTTTTATCATTCCTGTGTACCAGGTTTAGATTCACGTGCAGGTGACTGTGTTGTTCTTTTTTTTTTTTTTTTGACAATGGTATGAGTGTTGATCGTGCATTAGGCAGTGAAATACTACTGAAGATAAAATTGCCTAGTAAAACCACAAAAACCTATAAATGCCGGGGTTGTTTTCCAATGTCCTGTAGAGCAGGGCTGTTAAACCAGTGGCTCGCTGGCCGATTCCAGCTCTTAGAGGCCTGGCAAATGGGCCACAGATTATTGCTAATTGTATTAATGATCTTTCTGTGCTTTGGCTTCTGCCCTGTGACAGTCACCATTTTCAAGATTTTGGCCCCTTGGTAAACTGTAGCTGACTTTCATTATCCAAGACATTCTCAGCTTGTGAGATCAAATCATTATCTTGCCATTTCATTATTCCTCACATAGTTTTTGCAGTCTAGTCCCCCATTCCACTCTATTGAAATCAGGTACTGTTAGATATTTCATCAGGATACGTGAGCTTTAAGTGATTTTGTGTTTTTGTGTGGTTTTGTATGATTTATATTTGTGCTGATGAAGTCTCTATAGCCGCAGTGTTCACGTTCCGTGTGTGTTTGTTATATTGTGAAGCTCGCTGATATACTTTTCATTTAGTTTTATATCTTTCCTGGATAGTTTTAAGTGTGATGAAGGTGGTCCTTTAATTCAGCCTCATCCAGAAAGCCCTTCTTCATCTGACTTTCAAAAGTGTGAAAAGGGGAGTGGAATGAAAGGCAGAAATAACAGATAGGTGATCCCTGGCTTGCCAACACAGCAGTCAGTCACAGTTGAGTAAGAATGGTTTTTCTGGGTGTATTCAGCTGTAAGGATGACTCAGCTTTGTACAATAATGGTACCAGCAAAAACTGACACTTTCGGCTGGTGCAAATTTCCCTTAAATGTCACTCCCCACCCCTTCCCCCTTTTCAACAAATGGGTTGTTTGTTTTAAAGACAATTTGACATCCAATCAGCCTCAGTAATTGAGGTCACCGGGTCATGGAATGAGTCACCCGATCATATATCTTTAGACCCCAGAGAATTTATTCCATTTAATGATCTACTCTGTGCCGAATGATTACTCCTTTTATTCATCTTCAGATATTTTTAGAGAAAAAATAAAAGGCACATGAAAAAATTTTAAAACTTTTATTAGTGAACTCTATAAAATTATGCTTTTTGAATTATTTCTATCAAGAATTCCAACAGAGTCATGACGCCCCCCCCCCCCCCCCCCCCCCCGACTTTTTTTTAATGTGGTCAAGTGGTTAAAACTGATGAGGCAAGAAACTGGTCATCCTGACCTCTTACCACTAGAATGTTTCTTATATTTGTAAGGTCCTATCATAATAAACCTCTGTGGCGGTATCTGCTTGGAAGAGTATCTTTAAATGTAGATCTGTTGTAATACATTATAAATGTACTGTATAAATAAAATAAAAAATCCCATTCCATGCCTATGGCGCAATGGTCATGTAGCAAAGGTTGGGCTAAGTTGTCATCTTTCGAGTCCCAAGTCACTGCCACCAAGTACTAAGTCAAGTTTCAAGTCACCAAGAATGCTTCCAAGTCAAGTCCCGAGTCAGGGTACTTCATGTAACAAGTCATTTGCAAGTATAAAAAATACAAAACCTGAAATGGCACTGAAAACAACTTTTTTTAACTGTACAAAAAATTGGAAGAAATCTTATGTGAAAGCTTGATAAACTGAAACAGAATTCATTCTGCCCTGTTTTAAATTGTGGCTTTGATCACCAAACCTACCTCACAGTGGCTAGCCACAGAGAATAAGTTGTACCAAGTCTTTAAAGCTACAAGGCAAGTGGCTAGACAAATCCCTACGTCAAATCAAAAGTCGCTACTTATGTGACTCAAGTCGGACTTGAATCCAAGTCACGCGACTCAGGTCCTGACCTGTGGAATATGTTTTGTGTTGTTCATTATTTATATATTTTCTATACATGTAACTTTTTATATTGTCACTGATGTTTTTGCTGAATTTTAATTTATATTAAAAAATATTGAAAATTTATTAATCAGGGTCATAAAAGTACCATCATCATGTCCCATGCTGTTAAGTGTAAGTGGTCGTAGTTCACCATCTCCCATGGCCACCAGTCTTGGATCAAGTCTGTGTTCTTGTCATGATTTTGCCATTTGACATAGCCATCCAAGAATTTTTGCAGTAATTGCAGTTTTTTAAAAACAAATAAAATATAGTTTTTCTAACATTCATAGTTTTTTTTTTTTTTTTTTACATTTGCATCTGGTTAAAAATGGTTGTGCAGGTTGTGACACTTCCTTGGGTGGGCTGTGTACCAAAGCAACATGTATCTGCTCCACAGTTACGGAAGCCTCCTTAGATGGGGGGGGGGGGGGGGGGGGCGAGTGCCCATGTTCTGGACCTGCCTTTTCCTGAGGGTTGACCAGCCATTCATGTGTGCATGTTGGTGATACCTTATATGGATTAGGGAGCAAAGACAATGACACAGCGAGGCTGTGTAATGTCTGATAAAACTAACTGGAAATACTAACCTCAGACAACAAATGCCTAAAGAAGTCAGATAAGCCTATGACGCAGCGAGGCTGTGTAATGTCTGAAAAAACTAACTGGAAATGCTAACCCCAGACAACAAATGCCTAAAGAAGTCGGATATGCCTGCCAAAAGGTACAAATATTGCAGTCATGCTGTAAACAGACAAAGGACAAATGGAGTAAAACCTCAATAATACGAATTCCAAAATACAGAAAAAAATCAAGAGTTTATGTTTAAACAAATTTGTGCTAATTGGGGACTCATCATCATCATGCATAATATAAAAACTAAAATTGTGTTCATGTTAACCAGGTGTTTGTCTTAAGTGAGTTCATTTTAATGAAGTTTTACTATATATACAAAACATATATTTGACGAACAAGGAAAGTTACCCTGAAAAAAATTGCTTTTCACACAGACTTGGTTTTACTGTAAGCATACTTTACAGGAAGTTGCAGTGGACCAAGAGGTGAAGAAAAGATTCTGGCGATGGATAGGACACATGTTGAAAAAACCTGAGAACAATATAACTAGATTGTCTCTGCAGTGGAACCCACAGGGGGGCATAGTAATAAAGGAAGTCCAAAAAAAAACTTATGAACAATAAAGCTAGAGAGTGAATTTAAAAAGATGGAAAGAGCTGCATGTGATAGCGAAATATAGAACGACTTGGCATGAGTTGGTTGAGGGCCTATGCTCCACTTGGGGACAGAAAGGTAGAAGATGATACTTTACATGAATGTTAATACTGGCTGCAGCGATGTGGTTATGTCCCGGGATACTGATAATACAGAGATGCTTCACCTAATGAAGATAATTCGCTTCAGAAACATTTGTTAGCTTCCTGTGTAAGACTCAAAATGTCCTTAGTAATGCAGCATTTTTTTTTAACATCGCATGTTGGCATTCTTCCTTTTTTGTTGCTGTTCTCATCCTCCTCTGATAATCACTTTATTCTCGTTCTTTTCCTCATCTAGGTCCTTTTTCAAATCCTCAAGATCCTCTGTTGCCACATCTTCAGTGTGTGCTTCAACTAATTCTTCTACATCATCTTCATTATCCTCCCAAATGTAGTGCTTTGCTCGAGGAAACTATCTTGTCCATTATTTTCAGTAGCAAATTCCATAGCAGCATCTTCAGCATCTTGAACACTGGGAACAGCACTTCTTATCTTGTGGCAGTCTGGCAGCAATGTGTCCCAAGCCATGGATAGGACTTGAAAATCATAAGGGATATGATGCTGATCGTTCCAGAATTCTCTCGAAGTCAGAATGGTAAATGAGATTGTTTCAAAACATCTTTGTAACCTGTGTTTTGTATAAAGTTAGTTGCATATCCTTTACAGGACACTGCAGAACCAACGCCAGCAATTTTTTTTTAGGTTGTTGTGGTTTTTCTAGGCAAATTTTACGCTCAGTACCACTGTTTAAACCAACGCAAGACAAATCGTCCGCAGCTGGGATCAAACCCGGCATTACAAAACACGTTGGCAATGCCTAAGCCACAGACGCTGACTTGTTTTGTATACAACTTCTTGAAGTTTAATATGACCTGCTGACCCATGGGTTGCAAAACAGGTTTGTTATTTTCAGGAAGAAACGTTATCTTGATAAAACTGAATACTTCTTCCAAATCTTCAGCTCACAACATGACCACTAAAAAATATCTTGATCCAATCTAAATTCTGAGGTAGAAAAAAACAGTGAAAAAAGTCAGCTGGGTCACTCATTAGCTGTATT